CTACCGTAGCCAAGTCAGACTTCCCAAGGTACGGGCGCAGTTGGCGCACGAGTTTTAACTGTGCGAATGCTCACCGCTGAAACCTGGCTCAACGATGAGTCCAGGATCACACCCAAACTGCGAACCTGTGTCTTCAGGGGGAGTGCGACCCCATCCAACACAGGCTGTAACCCTATACCCTGTTCGGCCTTACGACTGACCAGGAGTACCTCTGTCTTGTCTGGATTCAATTTCAATTTGTTCGCCCCCATCCAGACCGTCACAGCGGCCAAGCACCGGTTCAGGACCTCGACAGCCTCCTTAGTAGCAGGTGGAAAGGAGTGACAGAGTTGGACATCATCCGCGTACAGATGACATCGCACTCCGAAACTCCGGTGTTGTGCTGGAACACCTAGAGATTCCTAGGGAGATCTTCTGAAATGCCTACAGAAGTTGACCATAGCGTTGTGCTGGAAGACCTAGAGATTCCTAGGGAGGTATTCTGAGATGCCTAGAGAAGTTGACCATAACATTGTGCTGGAAGACCTAGAGATTCCTAGGGAGGTCTTCTGAGATGCCTAGAGAAGTTGACCATAGTGTTGTGCTGGAAGACCTAGAGATTCCTAGGGAGGTCTTCTGAGATGCCTAGAGAAGTTGATCATAACGTTGTGCTGGAAGACTTAGAGATTCCTAGGGAGGTCTTCTGAGATGCCTAAAGAAGTTGACCATAGCGTTGTGCTGGAAGACCTACAAATCCCTAGAGAGGTCTTCTAATCAAATCCAGAAACCCTTAAATGTGAGCCGACTAGGGATTAAAACCTGGAGAGGTTTCTCCATCACATTGACCTGAAGAGACCAGCTGGGATCTTTAGCCAAAGGGTCAGGCCCTGATAGATATTTGGAGAAAGGGTTTGTGGTTACAGGTATAGCTGAGCTTGAGAATCTGCTTCTGAACTGCTCTTTTTCTGGACCTACAAGCAGACATCCTCACTTCCACCTGTACGTTTCTCTGGCAGGTCCCATTGGACAGATTCCATCACCTTCATGTGGGCTCATCCTTCTCGCTTCCCATCTCAAGGTGCTCTTCACCCAATGACTCCATGGCCAGTGACATGTAAGTATGGACCCTGGGTGGTGTTTCATAGCAGTGGATGGCCAACAGTAGATCACGGGGTAATAATAATAACAACACTAGTAGTAGTAGTAGTAGTAGTAGTAGTAATACATTTTGGGGTTGCTGTGTGTTTTCTTGCATCATAGAATGGGGTTGGACTGGATGGTCCTTGGAGGGTCTCTTCCAAATCCATGATAATATTCTATGAAGAACCCATTTGGAATTATGTGTGACCCATCACAGTCTCATGAGAAGGTCAAGAGGGCTTTGGTTGTGTCTTCTTGCATCNGGCCTCTGACAACTCGGAACAGTTCAGCCGGACGGTTCTTTGCAGATGCAATAGTGGCCGCAAAGAAAGTCTAATACCACAAAACTGTGTCAAAAAGAAAGCCTAATCAGGCATACATCAAATCTTGTTAAGTGAGGCATGGGTGTATGGCTTTAGCCCTGTCTGACCAACATGAATTGTCAGCAAAGGTTCTGCCATGATGTAGACACCTATAACATTTTGAATCTTGATAAGGCACAGGTTTCATTTATGTAGAGCTTTCCGTGCTCACTTGAACACAGCTAAAGCTCATTTGCAGCCTCTTCCATGAAATACAGATGGGCCAAAAGTAAGAAAAGGTCTTTTTAAAATAACTTTTTGAAAATTATTTTTTTTGGAGGAAATGGCCAAAGCAGGGAGGGGGTGGGTCTGGGTGGGGGCCTCCATTGAGGTGGTAACAAGTAGGGGAAGATGCAGGAAAGGGAGACCCAATTTATCAATGCGGCCTAATATTAGTGCTAGATCTAAATTACCAATTCGGCCTTCATGTGGAAATTCTAAATTATCAATTTGGCCAAAAATTTGTGAAAGAACTCTTACAAATTTAAACCGGGCTCCCGACAAAGTTAAGCTGAGTACCCAGGATGGCGGTCCCTCCAGGTCGAGAGTGGTGCTGCTCAATGCCAGGTCAGTTAATGGAAAAACATCAATTATCCAGGGCCTAATCCTTGAAGAACAGGCTGACCTGGCTTGTATAACAGAGACCTGGTTGGATGAGGCTGGGGGGAGGGGGGGGTAATCCCAGCTTTGTCCACCAGGTTACTCCATGCAGCATCAAGCGAGATCTGGAGGGCAGGGAGGGGGAGTTGCAATTGTCTATAAGGATTTCATCCCCCTGACCAGGTGCCCCATCCCGCAGTCTGCCACGTTTGAGTGTGTCAGCCTGAAGGTCAGTGACTGGGACAGGATAGGGATTCTGTTAGTGTACCGACCACCCTGCTGCACTACAGTCTCCCTACCTGAGCTAGCCGGAGTGGTCTCAGGCCTGGCATTGGAGTCTCAATGGCTCATGTGCTGGGGAACTTCAATGTCCATGCAGAGACCACTCTGTCAGGAGTGGCTCAGGACTTCATGGCTGCCATGGCAACCATGGGCCTGTCCCAATTAGTATCAGGTCGCACCTACAGTGCTGGACACACGCTGGATCTGGTTTTCTATTAGAGATAGGAAGAAGGTGGTGGGGTGGAGGAACTAACCATCGCTCCTTTGCCATGGACCGACCACCACCATCAGGTTTAGACTTATTGAGCCTTCTTACCTCCGCAGGGGTGGTAGACCCATTAAAATGGTCCGCCCCAGGAGATTTATGGATCCAAATGGTTTCCTGACAGCTCTTGGGGATTTTCCCGACTCCTCGGTTAGTGACCCTGTCGAGGCTCTGGTCTCTCTCTGGGATAGGGAGATGCCCAGGGCTATAGACACAATTGCTCCAGAACGCCGCCTCTCGAGTAACTGAGCTAAACCAGCTCCTTGGTTCACTGAGGAGCTGGCAACAATGAAGCAAAAGAAGAGGTGGCTAGAGCACGTGTGGCAGCGGAAGCGTAGCGGGTCAGTCCAAGCACGTCTAGTTTCCTTTTTAAGGAGCTATGACACGGCAATAAAGGGTGCACAAAAAAAACCATTCTTTGCAACCAATATTGCATCCGCTAAGAACCGTCCGGCTGAGCTGTTCCGAGTTGCCAGAGGACTTTTAAATCCGCCTCAGAGCGAGATCCCTGACAACTCGGCAGATCGCTGTGAAGCATTTGCTCGGTTCTTTGTGGACAAAGTTGCACTGATCCGTTCCGACTTCGACGCCATCTGAGGATTAACCTGCTTCTCCGGTTTTAATGGATTATTTTCAATTGGTTCAGCTCAAGGATGTGGACAAGATCCTTGGAGAAGCGAGGCCTACCACATGCATCCTAGACCCCTGCCCATCCTGCTGATAAAAGAAGCCAGATGGGGGTTGGCTGAGTGGGTTAAGGTGGTGGTTAATGCCTCCTTACAGGAGGGCAAACTTCCAGCCAGCCTAAAACAGGCTGTTATAAAACAGCTGTTGAAAAAACCATCACTGGACCCCACCCAATTAGTCAACTTTCGGCCAGTCTCCAATCTTCCCTACTTGGGCAAAGTCATGGAATGTGTGGTGGTTTCGCAACTCCAGAAACTCATTATCTAGATCCGGAACAGTCTGGCTTTAGGCCGGGACATGGCACTGAAACAGCCTTTGTTGCCTTAGTAGATGATCTACGCCAGGAGCTAGACAGGGGAAATGTGTCCCTGTTGGTTCTGCTGGACCTCTCAGCAGCCTTCGATACCGTCAACCACGGTATCCTTCTGGGATGCCTCACAGAAATGGGACTTGGAGGTACTGTTCTGCAGTGGTTCCAGTCTTTCCTGGAGGGTCAGTCTCAGAGGGTGTTACTGGGTGACACCTGTTTGACTCCACAACCATTGTCTTGTGGAGTCTCTCAGGGTCAGTACTGTCTCTGATGTTATTTAACATCTATATGAAGCCGCTGGGGGAGATCATCCGGAGTTTCGGAGTAAGGTGTTATCTGTATGCAGATGCTGTCCAAATCTGTCACTCCTTCCCACCTGTCATTAAGGAGGCTGTTCAGACCTTGA